CCCCCCCCCCCCCCCCCCGACCCCCTTGTGGAACTAGGGATTCAATTCATGGGCTTCTGCTTGCCAGGTAAATTTTCTACTTCTTGAGCTGTGCTTGGCTAGAAACTTTCCTAAAGATCATCCAACAAACTTCAGGGACATACTTGCTGAGGTCATGTATATTTTCACCGAAGTCATTGTCACTCTCTTCAAATTTTCTCCCATCTTCAGGTTTTTGTAACATTTATCCTCACTTTCTTATCTTTTTGTGTGTGCTGAGGAGCTTGAACTCAGGCCCTAGGTGCTGTCCCTGAACTTCTTTTACTCAAGGTGAGCACTCTACCACTTGAACAACGGCTCCACTCCTGGCTTTTTTGGTGATTCATTCTGGCTGGCTTTGAACTGTGATCCTCAAATCTATACTTGGCTATTGTCCCTTTTCCTCCATCAGTATGGGTATTTCTTCAAGGTTTAGTCTTAATATCTAACTCATCCTGTATATTTCCTTTATTAACTTTTTAAAACTGTAAGATATAAACGATAGATTGTATTGAAGTATATTTTGGTTTTGATTTTCTTTAGAACTTTACACCTACACTATATAGTTGCCTGCTAGAAGAAGCTTATTTTTTTTCCCAAGATTTGATCTTTTTTTATCCCCTAACGTGTATAATAATGAGGATAGGCATTTTGCATATTTTCTTATCATTGCATTCCTAACACCTAATACTGCACTCATTATGTTTTTGATAGATATTTAAATAAATGAGCTTTTGGGAACAAAGGCTTTGAATTTTGCAATGATCTGCTTTTACATTATAACTACTTGTATAAATCTTTGAACTCATTTTCTTGTTTGTGGTCATTGCTTAAAGCTAGGTCTTTATTATTTCTTACCTTGAATTTTGCAGCTATTTTCTAATGGTCTTCCTATATTGATTTCTGACTAGTTTGTATTGCTTGTTACAATTTTTAAAAGTAGTTATTGTCATTTATTCATCAAACATTTTCTAATTACCCATTACCATACCCTTTAGTGTTAAATAGATGATAGCATAGAAAATACGGACCATCGGGACATACAAGACCCTGTGATGTCCAAGCTAGGACAGACATAAAATGCTTTTCATCACTTGCCTGAAGTCTCTTTACCTGTATTGATAATTTCTTATGGACTGTAATAATTCTATAAATATCCAGATGGCTGCTGGCAGAAAAAAGGTTCCTTACTTCTTGGTGGGAGAAACATACATAAAAATAAGATGTACTATGAGTATGATGTGATAAATGCTATTTTTGTAGTAGGTTCAAAATGTGAATATCTGTAGTGGGTCAGGGATTATGGTCAGGGAAGGTGAAAATGAATACTTAAAACTTGGAGATACTTTAAGTTTGCTTAGTAGGTTGGGGCCAGTGAGTATGTCTTACACTGAGGAAACAGCTAATGTATATTCACAAAAGTATTTCCTACCTCTGCTTACAACTGCTACTAAGATAAAGTAAAACTGAGCAACTGGCCTCCTGTTGTCCGTTATTTATTTTTAATTTTATTTCATCTACCTTTTTCATCAGTTACACTTTCACTCCAATGACATTTTGTTTTATTTTAATTTAAATTTAATTTTGTTGGTTGTGGGGCTTAAATCAGGGTCTAGGCACTGTCCCTGAGCTTTTTCAAAAACCTCAAGGCTTGTTTTCTACCACTTTGAGCCATAGCACTTCAGGTTTTCTAGGGGTAATTGTAGATGAGTCTTTCCCTGAGTGGGCTGGCCTTTGAGCCACTATCTTCAGATTTCAGCCTCCTGAGTAGCTACGATTACAGGGGTGAACTACTGGTGCCCAGCAATAACTTATTTTATTTTTCTCCAATTATAGTGTTCTATATATTATTACCACCTTACTTGATTTATTTTAATCTTCTAAACTTCTTGTTTGTTATCTCAGTTGAGATAATTACAGAATGTATTGTGACTTAGTTATTTAAGAATGTGTGTACTTTTGGTAGATTTTGAGACCCATCTTACTTATTCTGTCCTATAGTTACTGCTAAGGTGTTCTGTAAGAAATAAACTCCTCATGTTCTGAATTTTAATTCAGATCTATTTGGCCACTATTTTTCGTGTAAGTTTAATTTTTTTTTTTTTTTTTTTT